CATTCGGGCGGGCGGGGAGACCTGGGAACGCCCCAGAGACAGGGAACCAATCCAAGCACCCAGGTTGAAAGAAACATTCAGTGACCCCACTCTTGTTCTCCTCTGGCCCCTGCCCCGGACACGGAGGGAGAGGTGCCCACCGGGGAGAGGGGTGCTGCCGGCCACGCCCTGGGCTCTCAGAGACCGCAGAGCATCCTGAGTGCGCGCACATTATTTATGCTCACAGCCTGCTCTGATGACATATGTAAGTTGACAGTGAACATCCTATCAACTTGCTGGAGTGTATCTTGATTGTTAAAACACACTCTTAAAGGTGTACGATCATTTATCAAATTAAAATAGCCGTGCCTTGCTGGTTCCTTTTCTGCCTTCCTGGACAAACCACCAGCCGCCTCCCTCCTTCTCCAGACTCCTGGGCGTCCTGCCCTTGCCCCCGTGCCCTGCTCCTCAGGGGATAATGTCCTTGCTGCCAGGGACCCGGCCTGAGCACCCCTCCCCACCTCACCCACGCCAGGGCAAGCCGCCCACTAATCGCCAAGAAGTGACAAACGCCAGAAGCCCCACCAATTAAATTTAAACTCATGCAAAGCTCAGTGGCTAGTAAATTATTATTTTTATTAGCTTGAACCAAGTTCCCGTAAGAGAGAAAGTCAACTTGCTCCCATGAATGGCTCTTGTATAATTTATTTAACTCTGTGCTCCTTGCCAAAGCCTGGAATATTTTTAGCTCGTTCTGTTGTTGGATTTGGCTTTTTTATGTGTGTTTCTGAGGGGTATTTTTAGCCTTCTCCATGTTATTCTAACAGCCTCCTATGCGTTTTGTCCTGTCTGTGCGGCGGCTGTTGAACCCTGTCTCACGGGGAGACGAGGGAGATTTCTAAGAATAACCGGGAAGCGTTTGGGGGTGCGCACGTTTTCCAGGGGAGACGTGCTATTTGCACAACGCCACTCTCTGCCTGGCGCACTAATTTGCCTTATTACTCACGTGACCTGGATGTTCCTATAGAAAAGGCATCATCTCCCTACAGGAATGAGCAGACGTGGTGGCAGCACCAGCCCCGCTGAGAAGAAACCCACATTCCAAAAACGGCTTCGGTGGGGCAGGCGTGGCGGGCACAGCCGCCCAGGCCCGGTCTACACGGCCGCCAGATTCCCTGCGGCAGCTTTGATGTCTAGCTCTGTCACTGCGGAGCAGGATGGGTAGTCTTCAGAAAGTAACTCTTTTCACACCTACTTAATGTTGGTAACTGTTGCAGAAACACTCCATCGTGTCAGGGAGTTAATGAGGTATTTACGAAAATGTATTTTTTTCTTTACAAAAAAATATCACATGATGAGGGAGGGGAAGCCTTTGATGGGGTCTTTTCACACTAGGAAATTATCTTTTTTCTCTCCAGAGTTGGGCTCTTTTTTGTTTGTTTTTTGGTGTTTTCCTTCTTTTTCTCCCCTCCCCTTTTTTTTGTTTTGTTTTCTTTTTTCATTTATTTTTTTTGAGATTGTCAATAGGAAGACTTTTAGCAGGAAAGAAATCTGAGTTCTCCACCAGAAGGGGCCTTGCCTTCAGCAACAACCCCAGGCACAGGGCACCTGGCTTCCCAGGCCGGGGCAATTCACACTCAAAGAAGATAAGAGAAGGGGCGGAGAGGGGAATCTGAGCAGATTACTGAAACTAAGAGGAGAACCGGCACCTCGGTAGAGATGGGGCCCCTGGTGGGGGGACGGGTGCCGGCCCAGCGGAAGCAGGAGGAGCCGGAGCGGCACTTCCATGTGGGGATTCTCTGGGCCAGGGCTGCCTCCGGATTAACCACGCTCCGCTCCGCAGAGAGGAGAGATCCCCAATCGCTCCAGGCAGTAGCGATGATGAAAATCTTGGGTTAGTTCTTGTTGATTTTCCTTTTTTTCCCCCCTAGATTTCACAGCTTTGCCTCCAGACCATCTGTATTAGAAACAAAATCTAACACTGCACTAAAAATAATGATTCCAAACATTTTAATTGCACCTTTTGGTGACAAGGTTATTGGAGCAGCAATTTACCATAAAAATCCTACAGCCCGATTATAATGCTACCAGCACTTTCATTTTTAGAAAAACAATGGAAGAAGCCCTGGAGCCCAATGTCCCCACCCGTTAGGGTCCCTCAGGCTGACGTTTTGGAAGTGGGGGTGGGGACGCAGGAGGGCAGCACAGGCCCAGGGAGGACACCCTCAGCCCAGCCTGGGGCTGTGCCAGGCCAGTCAGCTACAGGGAGCGCGGCCCACTGGGAGGAGGTAGCTCCTCAGAGCCCAAGGACTCCATCCCCATGGCTGGTCCTACTCCCGTGTTAGAGCTCGACAAACAGAAATTTTGTCCTGAGCTATTTTCTTTTCAGCAGAGCAATTGGTGGGGGGAGGTGGCAGGCTGGGTCGCTGCAGCTGTGGCCTGTGGACCGAGGCCATCCGGCAGTAAAATGGGAAGAAAGTCCACCAAACTGGCCATTGGCAAATCCACATAAAGACACACAAAAATTATTTATTTACACTTCTTTCTTTCTAAACTAGATCACACATAGACACAGAGCAAAGCAAAGTGATCTGGGGTGTAATTCCTTCTTTAAAAAAATATGCGTAGCTGAATTTTAAAAACCAATACAATATTCTGGATCTCAGCAATTTGAAAAGGCTTTCTTTCAGCTACAGATGCTTCTAGCTGGACGCCCGCGCAGCCAAGCTTCCCATCACAAACGGGCTGAACATCTTGAGTACAATAGGTCTCTGGTCCGCAGGAGGGTGGAAACTGGGCCTCTAGGAGCAGGGGACACGTGGCCCTCCAGCCCCCAAACAAGGGAGCCCTGAAGGGTCTCCAGCGCCCTCTAGAGCACCCTGCGTTGGGGAGGCCAGTAGGGTCTGGGGTCAAGCAACAGCCACGGCAGGACACAGACGAGACCAGCGCAAGTGCTCACACCTTCTGTGGCCTACACGCCAAGAACCATGTGGTCAAACTTAGAAAGAGTCAGACAAAGGTTTGTGCCACCCCGACCATGGCCACGTTCCTACCTGACTGGGTGGTACTGAGATCTGGAAATCAGGGCAGAAAGGGCAGATGGCAGCTGACCAAGACCTGGCTGGGCTGTGGGTGGGTGCCTGGGGACACAGAGGCAGCAGTAACCCGAACTGACGGGGACTCTGGCCTGGCCTCCCGGGGGATGGCCACAGCCTGCCTGTGCACAACTGTTAAAGCCTCAGTCTCAGGGGCCATCTCTGTGGTACTACTGCTGGCCGGGCTAGAGGGTCCAGTATGTTGGGGGGTGCACATGCTCCTCCCCATCCCCCAAGCTGCAGGCTCAGCCTCCCCAACCCTGGCAAGAGCCACCCACCTGCAGCCCAAGAAAGCGTGGTGGGAAAGCTGGGGAACTGCCTCTGCAGCCTCGGCTCCCCAGGTGCGCCTGAGCTGGGTGGGCAGCGGCTCCACATTCCCATGCAGGGGCAGAAGAGATACTTAATAACCACGGAGACAGCAGGGAGAGATATTTTTAAATCACCAATTGTACAGACACGCACTTTTTCTCTTTCTCTTTCCAGTTATAAAGGTAGAGAAGATAAAAGAAAGGAGGAAGGAGGAAGCACAGGAGGAGCAAAGGCCAGCGGCCGAGGCTGCAGCGGTGGCAGCGACTGGGGCAGACTGGGCGGCCAGCAGAGCCAGCCCCTCCACTCTGGGCTCAGCGGGTTTGAATCTCCTCCCGCTGCAAAAGCCGAGGGCCCGTTTGTAATTAGCAATTTTGAGTTTGTTTTTTTTTTTTTTCAAGGAAATTTACGTTTTTCTTTTTGACTGCCCTCCCTTCCTCCGACATTTTCCCTTCTAGCCGTCTGTGACATCCGTTTTAATCCACACACTAATTGTAATCCCATTAAAGCAGATAAAATTTTATTAGTATTCACAGTTCATCAAGCTAGCAATAATAACTGTTACTGCCAATTTTTTTTTTAAAACCGGCAAACATTTCTGATGTTTAGAACAAACTGTAAACAAAAGCAAGCCAACGTGCGGGAGTGACCCAGCGGGCCCTTCACTCTGCCCCACGCTCTGCCCGCAAACTCTGCCCGCACCGCCCAGTGACCTCCGGTGCGGGCCGGCTCGGTGGCTGCCCCTTCCCTGACCTCCCTCAACGTTAGTATCAAAGCCACCGTGTAGGACTGCTCTGAGGCCTGGGTCCCCTCTGCCAGGAAAGACCCTCTGGGGGTCTTTCCCAAGAGGACGGCAACCCGGCCTCCCAGCCGAGGCCAGCCTCGGGCGCCGCGCCGTCCTCCGGGGCAAACCCGCGGCGCACTCGCCTGCACCGAAATCGCGAGCGCGCCGGGCGCCAGCCCTGACCGACGGTGCCCAGAAGCTGCGCTCCCGGCCGGCTGCGAGGCCCGCGCACTCTGGCCACGCTTTGTCTGGCCTTAGCAAGATACCAGAGGCACTTGTTAAAGCAAATGCATCCCCTGCAAACCCATTCTCGCCCTGACACTTCAAGGCTTTATATAGAAACAGGATTTGCTCGTCTTACACCAGCAGTCCCTATTAACGCTCGCCCGGCGCACACCGCCCTAATCCGCCAGGCCCCGGTGCCCCGGCCCCCTCCCCCGCTGCCACAGCCGTTTTGTTTCCCCCAGAAAGCGCCTCGTTGTCCCGAACGCCTTAAGGAGCTGAATGCAGAATGCAGAAAGAGGTTTCCACGGAATTTAGATCTTCTGCAGAAAAGGGTGGGGGAGGGTGGCAAGGAGAGGAAAGGCTTTAATTTCGGCCGGCTCAGGAGCAGCCCCTCCGAGACCCCCTGGGGGGGACCGGGAAAGGCGGCTGTAAACCGCGGGATCCGGCTGTGGAGCAGGCAGGACGCGCGGCCCGCCCCGGCCGAGGCCGCCACCGGCGCCGCGGAGGGAAATGAAAGCAAAGGTTCTCCGCGCGCGGCTCCCGGAGCAGAGAGCGGGCGCCCCCCTCGACTCTCGAACGTCCCCCAGCGCCCGCCCCAGCCGGGCACTGACCTGCGTGCGAAGCCATGGGCAGCGGCGACGGGAAGTACTTTCCCGGCTGGAAGTGCGCGGGCGGCTGCGCAGCGGGCCCGGCCGGAGCGAGTCGCGCGGCGGCGGCGGCGCTGCGGTGGCCCAGGCTCCCGCGCTCCGACAGCAGATGCGGCGGCGGCGCGAAATCGCGGCCATCCATGCCGGGGCCCCGGCCCCGGTCCGCCGCCGCTTCCCCGGAGCAGCGCGGCCGGGGCCCGGGGGCGGCTCGGCGCGCGGGCGGCGCGGAGGAGGCGGCGTCTGGGGTCACCAGCGGCGGTGGCGGGGCGGTCAGCACGCC